AGAAGAAGAAGAAGAAGAAGAAGAAGAAGAAGAAGAAGAAGAAGAAGAAGAAGAAGAAGAAGAAGAAGAAGAAGAAGAAGAAGAAGAAGACTTCGACAACAACAACAACAGCAGCAGTAGATCAAGCTCAGTGTCTCGAGAAATTACGCGGTAACCACCGAGGAAGGGTGACATAATGATAATGGCGACCCCAAAAGAGGCGACACGCAAGAGTTGGGACCCCAGATTCATTGACAAGGTCAGTTGGATTTCTTTATAATTTTTTCCTCACGTTGGAGGGGGGAGGGAGGGAGAGGAGGAGCTACCCATTTATGTAATAGTTGTTGTATCTGTCCTTTTTGTTGTTGTTATTGTTGATAGTTGTTGTTATCGTTTTCTTTTTCTTCCGAAAACAAGCTGAAATTCTCGATTGTGGAATTAACCTCAAGTTCAACCTCACAAACACTGACGAATCATCGCCATCAGCCTTGTGTCCATGATAAGTGTGAGCAAAGTTCGCTCAGACTCATAAAACTGATATGCTAAGTCATTGTCAAGAGCCATCGTTTCATAAGATGTAATTTATTCATATTAATACGCGATATTTTATTGATAAACGAATAACGCATTGGCTCAGCGATTTGTGCGTGGCTTCTAAAGTACTAATGAGTTTCCGCGCGTCAGAGGAAGATAAATTAGCCGTGTCATCACGTTATGAGTTTAATTTTGTTTTTGTTTGCTTTTCAAGTAAAGGTGTTTTACGCCAACATGGACACAGTTCAGATCATCCAAAACAGGGCTATGACCCTGTCTGTCATGAGGGCCAATCCAAGTTGTTGTTTTTTTGTAAGTGTTTTACGGCGCTCGCAACTGCGTAAGGTCATAATAATGAGCGCACGTGATACATTCACCTTTTCAGTTCGTAAATGTAGGAAATTTTGAATTTTGCCCGGATGGTGGCCGAAGCCTACTCTTATAAATTTTAGACCACCAATGGATCTTTAACATGCGCAACTTGCACTCGGGCCCTCCAAGGTTTTTCGCCCTTGTCCGAGAAGGCTAGGTGTAGATCTTTCCTACCAAAACATCAGGGGTGTAGTTGGAAGACTGCAGTAAGAAGGAGCAAAGGAGTAGCAGTAAAAAGGCTGCAGAAAGAGTCAGGAGCCCAGAGGAGAGGGCAAAGGAGGTGGGGGAACAAAGAGGAGACAAAAGCACACGATAGAACATTGCTAAAGAGCAGGAAAGGAGATGAAAGGAGACAATTTTAGAGAAGAACATTTTTCGGTCGAAACCCATATTTGAACCCGGGACCTTTGAATGAGAGGCCAACACTTTAAGCTTTAGGCCACGAGAGC